GGGGGGGGGGGGGGGGGAGAAGGACGCAATGATATTGTAGCAAGATACTTTCCGATGAGAATCTATCTGCATTATTCTACGTTGACATGTTTTTATTTTACTCGTGAATCCGATGAGCACGGTAATGACAGCGACAACCACCGTTCATCGAGCTCCTTCTGTTGTCGTTTGTCGGGATACACGGTTCGGCATTGATTGAAACGTTGGGAAGCGCGGGAGGGCATAATTTTCGTTCTTGTCTGTCTCGCATCCTGCATGTTTTCAACGTGACCCTCTTTCATGTGGGGAGTTTTAGTTTTGACCATGTTGTGTAGTGAAGACGGTACCAAAGTAAATAGCGTTATCTGTGTACACGCACATTAACGTCTTAGCAGGGCTCCTTGGTGTAACTTTCTTGTACAGTTTTCCCGCGTATGCGGGTGAGAGGGGGAAGGCCGAGGGCGGGGGGGGGTGGGATGACGCGAAAAGCCCGATCGCTGGCCGCTAATGTTGAGGTAATGGGGCGAAGATAGCTGTGGAGGTGTCGTGGTTTTCGCCACCCTTCCTTGCTTTGTACGCTTTTGATTGCCTAATCCAAAGCTCTCGCTTGTAGCTGCCTGTTATTCATTGTTTTTTGCAAACTGTGTCTGACGCTACGATAAATGGTGACGGTGCCGTGTCCAATCCCATGGCTGTGTGGCACGCGGTCGGCCCGTCAATCAAGTCCCATCACGGCCTCCGTAACGCAGTAACTCTGCGTTGGTTGTGTTCTATGTCAGTCCCACGGCCCTACTTTGACAGTAGTACGCTAGATAGTTTTGAGGTGTTCTTTGTGCGGGTGTGTTTATATGTTGGTTGATCATTAAAGGGTTGACATTCTTTTATTTAGGAAGCAGGAAGTTGGTGTAGCTGGAGCTTGAGATGTATCACGATCGATCGTTGTGGGGGAATAAATTAGAACGACGGAGCCGAGAAGCTGGGGATGAGATGATCCGACCTTACTAACTACTTCTCGTTGTAGGATGAGGAAGAAGCTTGAGCTATGGATGATGTCAACATTTTTTTTTTTTTTACTTCCGTAGGCTATGGTTAAAAGAGTCGATTATGTGGTCGCATGCATTTTTCTTCGTGGACCAGGAACGAGCTTCGGCGCCGGACACACGACATCTGTGCCCTCTGCCCAAAATTGGGAATGAAACGTTCTCCTGTTGCATGCAAACTGGGATTTCTTGGGGCTGCGGCTACAAAATAACTCTTATTGGCATTGTGACATGCCGACACAGGGGCACCAAGTTTTGCAACGGCTCGCCTCGCCGAGAGGTTGAAGTTCGATGCGGGGAGCGGCCGTGCTATGATATTAAAAAACGAAACGGAATGCACCACACACACGCCATCTAGAAGTATCTGATTGCGGTCTGTGATCGTCATCTCGGGTGGTATACCGTGCACTGCACCCGCTACCTTCTTCGCGAGCGTGAGAGCATGTGCCTTGCTTTCTCGCGCAAACAATGAAAGCTGACATAAATAGGTGCAAGAGGCGAAGGCTTCTGCATAATAATACAAAGGTGTTCGGGGGCGACCCCCCGGGTCTACAGCAGTAGACAATTTTGCGTGGGCTTGGACGCTCACTCTTTTACGAACGTGCTTATGCATCCTTTCAACGCAACAAGCTTTCGCAGACAGGCTACTCATCTCGCGCGAATGGAGGGAATGGAACAGGGAGCAGCTCTAAATGTAGAATAGCTGCGGTGTCCTCAATGATGGTGTAGGCGGTAACCTCTGAAAACATCCATACTGTAGCGTGAGGAGTTCGATTCTCGACGAGGCTTGTCTACATACTCCGCTTTTTTCTTGCCTACCTATAGTAGTGTTGACAGTGTTGCCGAGATTGTTCTGGGTGACTGTCTCCGGCGGGACGAGCAAGACTGAAGGAAAAAAGACAAGTCCATCCTGGCGTTCAAATAGATGTCACGTAATCATCGCCCTTTACGAGATGAATTCTTGTCTGCGGGACCCCCTTTCGGAGCGACCTCTTGCAACTGGAGAAGCAAGGCCGTCGGGAGGGCACAGAAGCGGCAAGCGGCGACTAGCTAACCAATCGGAATGACGAACATAAAACCACCAGGTCGGATTGTGGGCTATATACCCCCGGGCTACAATGGTGGGTATAGCAAAGAAAAATTCGTCCTTCGCTGTGAAAATTTGCTCCTGTGTAGGTGAGACCCCGGCTGATGCTTGAATCATGTACACCGAATGGTCGTGTGTAGACTGGCACCAGAAGGGTACACGGTCACGAAAACACAAACACACCTTAGTGGCGAGCATAGGAGGTGTGTGCGTGGCAGGTCAAGACCTCTGGGGAATGTGCCAGCTGCTCCGCCGCAGGTCCTCGGGCACGATCGAAACAGAACATACACCAAGAGGTCACGGGCAGGATACCTACAATACAAGTAGGCGGCGAGGAGATGACTGACGCTCACAACCCGATGCAGATCCAAACGAGAGCGCGTGTAACGTAGATCCAACAGAAGCGATGACAGGATCTACGCCAATGATAAGAGTTGTTCCATGGCATCGGCAACGACCCGTGGTACGCGTCTTTTTTTTTATTTTTGGTATGTACCCCCCCGCTTCCAGCGAGAATTCGAACGGTTCAAGAAGCAACCTGATCGCTTCCCAATGACCGCTACAGAGCGCCTGCTTTTGCGACATTGCATGTGTGTTGTCCGTGCAGCAACAACAGCAAGAGCAGGCTGCACGGCCCCATCGGGCCCGGCAGTATCAAACCGTCTTCACGGCCCCAGCCAAGCCCGGAGCCAGTCTCTGTCGTGATACGTCCGACGTTCTTCATCATTGAAATTAATGTAGTAAGAGCTGTTTCTCGACCTCGGATTACATCGCCCCCGTCGCTCTCAAGCTTCGCCCGAGCAAGGCGCCCGTAAAGGCAAACGAGACTCAGCAGCACAAAAGTAGGGCGACATCAAAAGCCTCCACTATTTCTCCGAACAAGCGGCCATCATATTTCCAAAAAAAAAGAGGCAGACAGGCCCAAACCTTCGCGCCTGCACGCGACAACGCCGGCGACAAAGTCAAGAAAGAAATATACCACAGTCGGCAACACCCGCGCTGGCCAAAATGTAGTTACATCGAAACAAACGGGGGGAGTCAGACAGGGGAGTCAGACAGGGGATTTAGACAGCCAATGCACTCTCCTTTCAAGCCGCCGCCNACGTCGACCGCCAGATGCGCGATACGGCCTCGGGCGTGAGATCCGTTCTTGCGTCCGCGGAATAGCGGCTGCAGGAGCGGTAGAGAGCTTGCATCCCTCAGCTCGTTGAGAAAGGCGACAACAACCCCCCCCCCCCCTCCCCCCCCCCCCCCGGTTTTGTCCCCGTACCGCTGGCCCTCGCCGCCAAAAGTACCGAAATCTGGCTCGTCGTTGAGTACCCTTGGGCCTCCCATGATCTAGACAAAGGGGAGAGGGGCGACGCGCGTGGTAATCATCAAATCCAGTATTGTGTTAATGTATAGGCTCAAAGAATGTTCGCGTTTATGTACGCTCCACTTGAGGACGAGGTCCCCATTATTGGGAAAGACAATTAGTACCGTGTGGTGGGCAGTGGGTTCCGAGGCATAATTACGTGCGACCGTGTCGTACGCCGAAAAGGAAGGGTCAGGCCCACGTGCGTGGGTCTTCGTGACAGCTGGCAATAGCAGCGACCCATTGTTGTTGGGCAATCGGAATATTGATATTGTTTTGGGAGTGGCACTCAATTTGTTTCAGAGACATTTCACCAAAACCGACACCCGCCGCCATCACAGCGCGAAACGACCAAAATCCCAACAACTCTCTTCGCCTCCCCCCCCGCCCCCAACCAGCCATCGGTCCTGTGGGAACAAAAGGCCCCGTCCTCTCGAGGACGCGTGGTCAATGGCCTAACGACCAATGCATGCCAAGCACGCCCCCCAGCCAGCCTTGAAAAACAGTTGATCTTACCCGGGAGCCGTTCCTGGCATTCCACCGAAGCGCCATCACCAACACCAGCACCAACAACCGAACCACCGAGAGGGGGGGGACACCACACCAACACGTGCGAGCGAGATAAATAGTTTTCCTCACCCCGCGCTCCTTGTACATGTCCTGGCGCGTCTTCTCCCTCGGCAAGAGCACCTCGTCGATGATGCCGTACTGCACGGCCTCCGCGGAAGAAAGGTAAAAGTCGCGCTGGAAGTCCTCGTGGATCTTGGCCACCGTGTGCCCCGTTATCCGCTGCAGGGCCTCTTCCATCTTAGCGTTGCCCCTCATCACGTTTTGCACCTGGGAGGGGGCAAGCGGAGTAAGCACGGGGTGGGCAAGCGCACCCAGAGCCAACATACCGGGGGGATGTGTACATTCGCTTTCTTTCTCTCTTTTTTTCCGTTGAGATTGAATAGCGCCGATAGTTGCTGCAACTTGAGGGGTTAGTTTTGGCCGTACATTTCGTCTTGCACCATGGCCCTTCCTTTCCTCTCGTGGGGCGAGCTGTATAGCTGCTGTGCTCGCTATTCTAGACGGCCACAAAAAAAAAAAAAAACTCTAGACCGAAAGTTGTACAGCATCTGCTAACCACCGCATGCAGCAGTATCCGCCTCGCCTCTATCTTCGCTGGCGCCGGGTACCAACGCCCCCAAAACACGCATAGTTACCGTCAAACTAACAGAGACAAATCGTCCCGTCCCGCATATCCAGTCGGCTGACTCGTTCACTTTTCCGCTAAAGCCGAACAACAGACAGGACAATTATTTCAAGGCCACACGTAGGTACCTCCCCCCCAAAGCACCCACCTCCACCCCGATGTCCGACGCCTGCCCCTGGTACGGGTCCTCCATTCCTGTCCGCTGCATCAAGAACCGCGAGTTGGGCAGGGCGTACCTCTGCCCCCGCTTCCCCGCGGCGCAAAGGAAAGAAACCATGCCCGTCGCCAGCCCAAGGTTAAGCGTCGACAGCTCGGGGCCCATGTGCATTAGCGTGTCGTACACGGCCAGGGCGGGGCGGATCAACGCGCCCGGGCAGTTGAAGTAGAGGGAGATCTTCTTGTTCGGGTCGTTCTTTTCGTGGTACAGGAGCATGGCGATCAGCTGGGGAACGGAAACGGGGGGGGAAGGGGGGGGGCGTATACATAACCGTCCATGCCGCAGTCGTTTAGACCATTGACCTCGCATCCCTACAAAGCCGGGGCGAAGCATGCCGGGTTCTCACCGGACCAGGATCGGGGAGAGGGGGGGCGGGGGATGCTCAAGAGCTTGACTGCGTGACCCCTCGGGTCGTGACGCGATAGTCACACCGAGTGGTACCCACCATGTGCGCGACATCATTGTTAGAAGTAGCAAAAAATAGACATAACGTGAGAGGGAGAACTCTGTTGGGTTGTTTCGTGTAATATGCCACTGACAGCGAGTTTCTATCGAATTCAAGGCCGAGACAGGCCTCACTGGGTACCGGTGCCGTCAATCACAACGTCTGGCCGACCAGAGCACCGTCCAGCGCTACCCTCCTCATTCAACGTGTGCCAATTCTCTCAGAAGCGACAAGAACAAACATGGAAGTCATCCCATGGACATCCCGAGCACACGGAAGCGACTGCCGTGTATACCAGCGAACACGGAAATCACCCCCATGGATTCATCCATGCTCGGGTTCGTCCAGACGTATGGCATACCTGATTCGCGTACTCCTCATCGATAAACTTCCCCACCATGATGATGCGCGACTGCTGGAGGCACTGGCTCACTGGCATCCACGTGGCCACCGTCGACCCTTCGCGCGTGTAGGGAACCTAACAAAAGGCGCAGGGTCGGTAGATGTCGACAGGGTCGAGAGTCAGATAGACCTCCATGCACACGAAAAGCGAGATGGTAAGAAGTCTCGGCAAACGCTGCCCTGTCTCCGCACCGTTGGAAGTATGTAAGTGAGTGGCAGTATCAGTATTGCAGGAAACTGCTCTTCCCGATAGGAACGGTCAAGGATCAAGGAGTGCGGAAAACACTGCTGTACCTTTACGTCGCAAGCCGGATGTCAATTCCCCTCATACAATGAAGAGCTTTCGATTATCCTGCCGTCGTATGCGTGGACTATACCACCTTCCTCGATAAAAAACGGCGGGCTGCGATTGGCTTGCCACTTGCCACTTGCGACTCTGAAGACTGAAAACACCTGTAGTCTCGCCGCACCCGAAACGGGGCCCTGTGATTGGCTTGCTTCAAAAAGCTTGGGCGGCCCTACCCTGAAACGTTGCGCCGATACATCTTGTGCGAGAAAAGGCAACAAACTATTGTACTACGATGACACGGGTCCTCGGGGTGACAACAGTAGCAGACGTGCCACTGCTGCATGGTTGAAGCGTAGGTCAGAGCGCATGCTGCTGGCTCCTCGTGAACTTGCCAGGTGTCAACAGAACGGGGCTCTAGGGAGCGCTCGTACAACATACCTTGCTTGGGCACATGACATCGCTTGCGCGTGGAAGTTTAAGTTTGGCAAGGTCATGCTATCAACGCACTCGACCTATCACTACCGATGCGGGCACGGCGCAGCCACCACACGCCTGTGGGTACGAAACAATGTACAGTACACGGTTGTCCAACATACACACGGGGTATCGTGCCAGCGTCCGGCGACGCCCATCATGTTGCACTTCATTCTGTCTTCTCACCATCGGCTCCGAGCTTGGCATCCGCACCACATCCCTGCGAGTCGCTGCTGCCAGGGTAACGTCCGACCGTCGCCGCAGCTGTAAATTCTGCTGTTTCTGCCCGGTCGTCGCCGCTAATGCCGCTGCCCGCGCTGCGGTCGACGGTACGAAGGCCTCACACACCCAACACCGCGACGCTGCTGCTACAAGCAGGCTCATGCCCGTCAGCGTCGCCCATGCTGACGACCACATGTGATGTATGCTTTTACCACCGAATCGAATCCCACGTCAGCAGCAGCAGCAGCAACAGCAGCAGCAGCGTGTGTCTTGTGCCGTGTTGCGTGCTTCCAGCGAGGCAGCGGTGCGCTACGAAGAGCGTGAGGTAGGTACAAGTAGCGCCGCGGGAGGGAGTCTTGGGGGCCACGCAAACTGTAAATATACCCCTCGGCCCGGTAAATCTCTACCGTCGAGCGTGCCCTGGTGTGCGTTGTGCGCGTTGTGGTCGTGCAGTGGATGCAAGAGTGCCGTTCGGCGGCTAATGAAGCGGGCGTAATAGACAAAGTGGCGTACGCGTCGGCGAACATGGCGACGGAGGAATCCGACGGAAATATGCAGAGCTATACCTGGGCAGATGTGGAAGTGGCCGAGGTGATCTACGGGCTGAGTTGTATCATTTCTCCGTTTGTGTTTTGAGAACGTGTACTTAATTTTGTTCATCACGCCGCCGCGGCCGGTACGCCTCCGGCATATGCTACTGCTGTGCTACCGTTGTGCCGTCGTGCAGAGATAGTGGCACGGCGGGGAGGAACAGCATGCGGCGTTGGCGCCTCCTTCCCCCTCTTGGCACGTAGCCAGCAAACAGTTTGTTATTCTAGCGTTCGGGTCGCGGTCCTTTCTATTGATTCTAACCCATCTATTCACAGACTCCTGTACCCGTGTCTCTAGGATGAACCTATTAACGGATCAAAAATAACCGAGCTCTCAACGGTTCGCACTTCGTGTAGAGTTGCTGCAGCATGCTGATGAGAAGCACACGTCGGAGTGAGACGTAAAGTCGCGTAGCAATGGCGATAGAAACAGCACAACTGCTGTCCTCTACGGCACGTCGATCTTCTGGGGTGTTGTGCCCGTCCATCTGTGTTTCCGCACGTTTCCTTATTTGTAACTTGTTCATATATCCACACGGGGAATCGGCCGCGTCTGAGTGTACCACGGACAGATGAAGGTATTGGGCAGAGAGATCGGAACGGTTTTTAAATGTGAAGACACCAACGACGGCAAAAAATGTGTGTAATTTTCGGCGAATACAGGCGTGCAGCAACGAGGAACGGATATGGCGACATCTCCATGCCTCTACATACTAGAACAATTGATGAATGATCAAGTCCACCTAAATAGGTTCAAAATCAGTCGAACGAACATGTTTTCCCTTAAGGGCATGGCGTGGTTTGTCTACTCCAGGCGGATGAGAAGGCTCATCGGTGCTAGGGTACAAGCTGTCTCGAAATAAGTCTTGCTTTCATTCCCGCCGTTTCAGTAATCAGTAGGAATGTGACTCGGGTCGAAAAACTGTGACGGGTTCCCGGTGGGTCTGGCGGGTTGGAAGCGGCCGCCGGGTACCCACCTAGAAGGGGGCGCCGTGTATGGATATCAGGGGGTAGTCCGTCATTGTTGGGCGGCCGTGCCACCACAAGGGGGCACTGTGTACGTGTATCACCATGTACCCTCTTGATTTGGAGTGCCGCGTATGAAAGATGCGCGGATACGAGACAGGTGAAACCCGAACCGGCCAATGATTCCCGTTACCGGTTACCCGGTAACGGGTACTGTACCCGGTCTTGTTCCAGCCGGGTCACAACCGTACGCACCAGCCACGTGTTTTTTCCTCTAGAGTTTCCCCCGCGATCATGTGGTATGGTATGTGGAATCTGGGTCCATCTTATTTGCGGTTTCTCTGATCCAGAAAGGTGAATGTAGTCGTCTCTGGTAGTATTTGGTCAGCCGGTGACCGCGCAAGGTGTCCGCATCAGTTGGACAGGTACGGGTGTTAGAAGGTACTGTGCGGTGACAGGAACGGTTTTTAATCTCAAACCAACAACAACATAAACAACAACAACAATGGTATCAACACTTGTCGGCCGAAGAACGTTTTTATGGTGTACAAAGTTTGTAGCACACCTCAAGTCTCGCAGCGAACTGGTTCACCGACTTTCATTATGTGCTCCGTTAGGCACTGCATGTGCTGGGGGGTGTGTTGACGCCCCTCTCGTCGGTTGTCGTGTAAGCCTTCTTGTTGTGCTGGCAAAGCAAAGGGTAAAAACAAGCAACAGAGGACTTTGAGAAACAGCGAGAGATAGTGGCACACACACCATCAATGCGTATTGTTTCCTGGTGTGTCTTGCAGAAGCAATGCGTGTTTCGCGGCAGGCGGAAGAGCAGTTACTTCGTAGACCAATGAGCATTGGGCACTGATTTCTATTGTTTCCGGGAAGCTGAGTGAGCCACAAGATAGCAGGGGAAGCGCCTGGCATTCCACGTCTAGCCTGTACTGGTATTTCATCTGCATTTCATCACCGCGTTACTCATGCCGGGCGCGCCCGAGGAAAAAGTGTTGAAAGACGTTTTCGTTCGTTTGCCGAGGGGCAGACGCCCAATGTTGGTGGATGTAGGCCCCGGCTTGGGCGCAACCAGCATGTCGCAATCCACATTTTGTATGCGTAGCGGTATCAACAACGCTAGGAATGTAGATGACGGTGGGTGGCTGTCACTCCATGAGACACGAGGTGCATGCAATACGAAAGACGCAGCAGCGTTCCATGCAAGAAGAGTTGTTCGATGCATGGATGGATACATTTTGGCCGGACTTTAGAAAAAAAAAAGATTTTGCACGTAACCCCAACCTCTTATGTACCCCTCCCCAACATACGGTTCTCTGAAGGGGCACGAAGGAGGGTTGGAGCTTGCCGGGGGAATCGTGTCTCCGCAGCACCTTCGGAACCGCGGCCACGCTCGGAATGGCGACGAGTACGGGGGTGGCGGCAGGTGAGAAAACCTCGCGAAAACGATTTCCTTCGGTCCGGTATTTACTATGCGTCCCTGTTGTTGGTTGTCTTGAAGCTCATTCGTGTGCGATGAACGCATGCAGAATCTAACACTTGGCAGGAGATGGGTATCGCCATACAAGGTGTCGCTCGACACGGGGGTGGACCCCCTCCCCCCCATCCCTCCCCCCCTCCCCCCCCCCTTGGTACTGAACGAGGTGACCCCCCNTCCCCCCCCCCCCCCCCCCCCCCTTGGTACTGAACGAGGTGACCCCCCAACTCCCCGCGGGATTTTCCGTGCTATTTTTTTCCACTGCTGGGATGGACGGTACCAGTATTGATATATATTTGCCAGATAGATATCCGTGGCAAGCTTTGAACGAAATAGTTCAAAAGCCACCGGTGTGGGTGCTGCTCCTATGCCGGTCGTATCGTGATCGAGGTATTTTGCTTGATTTGGTCGGACAGGAGGAGGGTGGCGTACGCCCCGGTAAATGTTGCTGTGTGTGATTTCGAGGGTGGAAGATTGCTGTTAGGCGATGCGTGGCGACGGTTGTCGCTGCTGTAGCTCCCCTTTGCATACGCCAGGTACGTGACCGGGACAAAAATGTAGGCACAGGGTGTGACCCTATAGCACAGGCATCTCGGGCGGCATTGGTGTGTGTTTGCCCGTAGCGTCAGCCCCTCGCGATCTCGCTTGACCCCCCCCCTTCCCCGCCGGCGTCCGCTCTGGTCTACCCATCCCCGACCGTGTGTGTTGTGTGCCGTGTGGCGCCTTTTGTTGTTGGCGCTGCTGATTGTGTTGGTCTCTCAGCGCGGAGCAGTACGTCATGAGCGAGGAGAACCGCGCCGCCGCCGTATTGGCGGACAGGTAAGCTCGCTGGCCGAAGCTCCTTCTTTAGAACGACTATATGCGGTTGAACAGAGGGTCGACACAAGAGCTGAAAGCCTTTTCTACATCCAGTTTTTCTGATCAACTATACTGTCAAGTGTGGTAGTGTTTTGCATAGTCGGGACACGCAGCTTTTACTCTCATTACACCCGTACTCTTGAAACGACCTCTCTTACCGAAGCCGGTACTCGAGTATTCATGTTCGTCTTGTCCTCTCTCGCCGCCTGGTCCAGGATGCAGCTACCGAACCCCACCGCCGACACCCACGCCTTCGTTAATACGTTAGTACCACCCCCCCATATCACATTGCGCAACCCCCCCCCCCTCGTCCCTTGTGTTTCCAGGCAGCAGGCGTCGCAACGCAAGCTGGGCACGGTGAAGGGAGTGTTTCAGCCTTGCGTCCAGAACATCCTGGGGGTAATCCTCTTCATCCGTCTGCCCTTCATCGTGGGCCAGGCGGGCGTGTTCTTGACCATCGTCATCATCCTCGTGGCCAAGCTGGCGACCACGCTCACCACCCTCTCAATGAACGCCATCGCCACGAACGGCCAGGTGCAGGCCGGGGGGCCGTATTACATCATCTCCAGGAACCTGGGGGTCGAGGTAAGAGCTCTTGTGGAGCATCGGGAGGGGGGGGGGGGATACTTGGTTGAGTCTTGGGGTAGTATATCGAGACACGACGGCCCTGTCGGGAACAAGGATGAGTCCAGGACCTNGGGGGGGGGGGGGGGGGGGGGGGGGGGGGGGGGGGGGGGGGGGGGGGGGGGATACTTGGTTGAGTCTTGGGGTAGTATATCGAGACACGACGGCCCTGTCGGGAACAAGGATGAGTCCAGGACCTCACTACCCACGTGGCGAGGCGAGAGATCGATGACTTCACAAAGACCCATGCTGGCGGGATGGAGGGGAGCGGAACCAATGGGGGGCAGGGGGGG